TGAATATTAAGCCTTTGGCCCTACAAATGCGAGCCTTCGCTTCTTCCATCTTTGCTTCTTTTAATGGGACATCATCCTTTTCAGCAACCCGATGCGATAGTGTGTTGCACCGATATGAAAATGCCCCAACTACTTCCTCATCCTCTTCAGAGTCAGTCTCACTATGACAATTAGCCTGCAGGGCCTCTTGTTTTGAACTTGGCCCGCCACTTGCTAACTGACAATATGCATTCACCATCCGCTTTTGAGGACACTCCGACACTCGATGAGGTCCTTCACATAAAAAGCACTTCAATTTGGGAGTGGCATCAGTTCGGCCCTCCTTTGCTTTTCCTTTGTTCCAGTTGTTACTATCACTGTCGTTAAAATTTCCTTGACGGCTGTTATGATAGTTTCCCTGAAAGCCACGGGTGCTTCGATAGGCTCCTTCTCTATTCTGAGAGTAACGCTTTCCCCCATTTGGGTTCGAGCTGGGTCTGTAAGATCTGTTACCACCTCCAATTGCTTGATTACTCCCCGAAGGTTGATCTTTTCTAGATTCTATTTGGTAGTCGCTCAAGCATTCAGCGGCTCCCATGGCCGTGCTTAAATCAGTAACCTTCTGTCTTTGAAGTTCCGTGCGTGTCCACGGTTTCAACGCTTCCATAAAGGTGAAGAGCTTATCCTTTTCTGACATATCTCGAATATTCAGCATATGCCTTGAGAAGGATTTCACATACTCCCTGATAGAGCTCGTGTGTTTCAGGTCCCGAAGAGCCCGTCGAGCCTGATCCTCGACATTTTTCGGGAAAAATTGCAATCTGATCGCTTCCTTGAGGAGATCCCAAGAATCAACTCGAATCCTGTGGGCCTGAATGTCCGCATATTTGGTTCGCCACCAAAGCTTTGCACCTCCACCCAAATACATGGTAGCTGTGGTTACCTTTCTAGCTTTATCTTTGATCGAAGCTGCTAGAAAGTACTGTTCCATATCAAACAAGAAGTTTTCAACTTCTTTTGCATCACGTGCCCCTCTGTAGGTACACGGTTCAGGAATTCTGAGTCTAGGAGCATACTCGTGTGCGGGAGCTTGCCCATTGCCCACCGCACGTTGGAGTACTCGCAATTGAGCTCTCAACGTTTCCATTTCGTCCTGCAAATCAGGAATGATTATAGCAGCTTCCGTCATTGCTGCGCAAGCTCTTTGGCTTTCATCCAATTGGATGTGTAATCCACGAATCTCAGATTCGGCCATCTCGACTTTTTCCTCGAGACCTTCCATAGCATAGCACAACCTAGTAGTTGTCTCATCAAGCGCATCCACGCGCTGTTTTGTAGTACCTTTCTTTTGAGGCTCTATCACTTCAGTGGTGTGTGATGTAATTGGATCCATAGTTTTCTTATCGAGGGTCGTGAGCCGCAGCTCTTATACCAACTTTCACGGGGTGCCTTTCTTCTTGGCACAGAAAGGGACACCGTGCGGCAGTAGTCTACTCTGCTAGACTACCTTTCGCCTTTTATCGATCACGTTGGGACGAAAGAAAATTTGATTACAATTTTGTAGAAAACTTACAATAGAGAATTTGAATACATTGAAAGTAAATTGAACATTAATTGATGAAAACTGAACATTACAATTGATGAAAGCAGAAAATTACAATTGCTGATGCAGGGGGCGGACACCAGTGAGTTTGAAAGATTTTTGAAAGACTAATACCCCCTATAATAGCATTCTGAACAAAAATCCAAGTGACGGGAGTAGACGTTTAAAAGACGAGGAATCATACGAAACGTTTACCAATATCAGAGCTATTTTACAATTGAAATAATTATTACAATGAAAAGAAAATTACAACTCAAACTTGAAGTAATATTTATAATGTGCGGCCGAAGTTGGGCAAACTGCGGCTGCAATAGTGTCAAGGGGCTAAGTAAAGCTGCGATCCTTGACACCTAGCCTTGCTTAAGACTAGCTTAAACACTCATTTTTATTGACTTTATCTGTTCTTGATGGCTTTATTAGTGCGACAATTAAGTTGATTTACACAAACAGGACTATTAAACCTAATGCAAGGAATGATGTGTGACTTTTGCAGCTCTTGTTTTTTGGTTAGTGAAAGCAGATCACGTACTTGTGTGGGTAAAATTTGGGTTTTCAATGCTTCCATTAGCTAAACACTTTGATCTATAGCAGTATGAATCAGTATCAACCTGTAGATTACTGAGACTGTTCCCATTAAATATAAGAAAAGGGGAGATATTTGCTAGTTGCTACTAAAGTCTGCTTTACCATGCTAAGCATCCGCGGTGTTGCCAGTCTCAGAGAACAACCAATTAAAGTCATCTTGATGTAAGCCTCAGAGATGGCAATTTACTTTTGTGCACCCCTTATGTCTTTGAATCAGCACTGAATTCTTTTTCAAACATTCTGGTCTAAATTAACAAAGTCATATATTAAGTTAGCTTAGAGCTGTCTTCTGAGTGGTTTAATTATTACACAAAGTTTTAGTTATTTCAGAAGGATGTACATTGTTTTCTCAAAGGTGCCATTGGCTTTGCTAATCATCTGGTTGGGAATGCTGGTGACAGTAGTAAAATGACTCATTAACATACTGGAATAACAGTCATTTTGAAGAATGATAGAAACTTTAATTAAATTATTTTGCTGAAGTGAATCATTTAAGTAAATCTTGCTGTTTTCCCTCATAAGAGATCAATATAAGTTTTCAGGATGGACATTCAATGTGCACGATCTCATATTTGTTACTTTTAGAGGGAAAATAGGACTGCTAACAATGTGGCAGTTCAATGAAAAATGTGGCCATATTAAATAATTATGACTATAATTATTACTCTTGTTCTGTTAACTAGAGCACGTGGTATGTTAAAATCTTAAATTAGCAATGCAATCAATTAGAATGAACAAGTAATTAACTAGCATTACAGAAGTTATGATCTGAGGTTAGGTAGAGAAAGTTGAAATGCGGAGGAAAATACAATTAGAAGATAGGATATTTTGAGAATTTTTTATTTTAAAAAGAACCCCCCCCCCCCCCCCCCCCCCCCCAAAAAAAAAAAAAAAAAAACCAACCAACTCATCCTTTCTGTAAAATAGAGAAAAACTACAAAAATGGAAAGATACTTCCCCAGCAGAAAGGTGATTTTCCTGGCTTTTTAATTTGACATGCACATGTAGTTAATTGAATACCATCTGAAGTTTTCCTTTCTTGTGGCAGGTTTGACAGCAAGAGCTTTTGTAGAGATTGCCGAAGAAATGTTATACGAGAGTTCAAGGAGCTGAAGGAGCTAAAACGCATGCGAAGGGAACCTCGTTGCACAAGTTGGTTTTGTGTGGCAGACACTGCCTTCCAATGCGAGGTTTTTCATGACACAGTTCAAGCTGACTGGCAACAAACATTTTTAGATGAATTTGGAACATACCATCACTTTGAATGGGCAATTGGAAGTGAAAAAGGAAAATGTGATATCTTGGAGTTTGAAAATGTTGGATTGAGGGGAAGAGTTCAAGCAAGTGGGCTAGATCTTAGTGGGTTGCATGCATGTTATATATCTTTACAGGCATGGAAAATGGATGGACGCTGCAATGAACTTTGTGTGAAAGCTCATGCTTTGAGAGGTCGACAATGCGTTCATTGCAGACTTGTTGTTGGTGATGGTTTTGTTACAATTACGAGTGGGGAAAGCATTAAAAAGTTCTTTGAGCATGCTGAGGAGGCCGAAGAAGAAGAGGTATCAACCTGGGGTTTTTAATTATCATGTCTAGATGTGGGGAATTCGGGAATTCCTTCCTATATCCTTTCCCCTCATTCTCTATTTATTCTCATGATATTTCTTGTTATGTTTTTATTTCCATTGTGATTTCAGGATGATGATTCCATGGATAAGGATGGAAATGACTTTGATGGTGAGTGCTCCCGTCCTCAGAAACATGCGAAGAGTCCTGAGCTTGCTAGAGACTTCCTTCTAGATGCTGCAACTGTAATATTCAAGGATCAGGCACGTTCATCATTTCTTTCCTTTTCTATGAATTATCTTTTTGAATTCACAGAAAGTAAGCAACAGAATTAATCTACTGTCTTTTAAAGTCATTTATAGTTCTTATTAGTGATATCTAGAGTCCTAGGGTTCCCATGTTATCTATATTTGTAGTTCAAAGTGAAAGTTGAAATATAGTTGCTTCAATATTTGTGGGTATTTGATTTTGATGTTAGTAACGGGGAGCATCCTAGGGTTCCATGTTTTCCATATCTGTAATCCAAACCGTAACTTGACTTATAGTTGTTTCATATTTGTGGGTAATTGATTTTGATGTTTTAAGATGTCTTACACTATATAGATGGCTGTAGCTTCTGAGACATGTCGACCTTGTTCAACCAATTCTTCAGAAGGATGGATTTTTGTTATCTGTAGAAATTCTCACATCAAAACTTCTAATGCTATGAACTCCTTACACAGTTAAATTTACAAGACTGTATGACAAGTTGAACAAGCCTAACTGCATAACTGATTCACCATTTCTAGTTGTACCTTGAAATTTGATCATTTTTGAGGAAAGAATAAGTTGAAGGACTCGGGCTTATGTTTTTGTGTACTGTATGCTCTTAATATACCATGGTCTTACATTTAATCTCCACGTCTATTTGTTGGCACTTTGAAGTTTTCTTAGGTGCTGGATAAATTCTGCAGGTTGAAAAGGCCTTTAGAGAAGGAACTGCACGGCAGAATGCACACAGCAGTTTTGTGTGCCTTGGTTTGAAGTTGCTTGAAGAACGCGTGCATGTTGCATGCAAGGAAATCATTACCTTAGAAAAGCAGGTACTGAACCTGTAATAATTTAAATCTCCCCTTGAGCATTTTGCTGCCTCAACATATCATCTTGAGTTTCATGGTATTATCTCGATTTCCCCTTCAACTTTGATTTTACAGATTAAACTTCTTGAAGAAGAAGAAAAGGAAAAGCGTGAAGAAGAAGAAAGAAAGGTGCGCCGAAGAACAAAAGAAAGGGAGAAAAAGCTCCGAAGAAAGGAAAGATTAAAAGAGAAGGAAAACAAGGAGATGGAATGTGCTGAATCAAATCAAGATCCTGTGGTTCCCGATGTTTCAAAGGAGGACCCCACGCCCACTCTTGATGAAAATTCAAATGTGGTCAGTAACAAAGATTGTATCAGTGAAACTGGTGAAGCTATTTCATCCAGCCCATTGTCTCCAGATATTCAAGATGCCCAGTTTTTGAAGGATTATGTATATTCAAATACAGAAAACCATTCAGAAGACAGTCCTAATGGGGAAATTGGCAATATTAGAGATTCGAACTGCTCTTTCCCCCACAATCACATCAAATATGCTAGCAGGAAGCTAAAGTTTAAAAAAGACCCCAAACAGGATTTGAACTTAAAATGGTCAGGTGCGAGAAAAAGTAATGTTGTTACAGAGTTTGGGGATACTGTTAGCAAATGTGAATCGAGATATCATGATGATGGCTTTGATGTTAGAAATAATGCTGCAAAGAACAGTAGAACTTTTGGCTCAAAATTTAGTGAAAAGTTTCAGGGTACCAAGAATAGGGTACGAGGTGACAGATTTGATTCACATGCTCGCAGCTGTAACCCTCATGACGTTTACAGAGCAAGGCCTGAATCACATATTACAAGAGCAGTCCGGGACCCCAAATATGTGAATAAGTTGGAGGTCTCTGGTATGTCAAAACCATATTATCGTGGACTCAAGTATAACCTAGTTGAGTGTTCACGTGAGATGAGTGGACGACCTAAAAGTAAAATTATAGCTGGGAACAGTTCACCTAACATTAAGCAAGTTTGGGAACCATTGGATTCACAGAAGAAATACATCCGAAGCAATTCAGATTCTGATATTATTGCAATTTCTACTCTCAAAGTTGAAGGTGCTGTATCTGATCGCCTCCCTGAATTTCCTGCTACCAGTCAATCTGACGAAGTGACGAGTATTTCAGTATCAACCAATCGCAAGGATTATGGTTTTCAAGATTCAATTATGTCTAGACCTGAAAATGGCAGAATTGGACCAAATGGATTTCAGACGGTGACAAAGTCCCAGCAATCCTCAAAGGATGTAGCAGAAGAGGATGGGAAGTTATGTCCTTCAACTAGATCTTTACATGTAATGCTAGAATCATCAATTGGTAGCTCTTCTAACTCTGACAATTGCTCCTCCTGCCTCAGTGAGGAAGACAGCAGCACATCCTCTTCAGACCATCAAATCTCGGATTCAACATCGATGTCGGATTCAGATGAGGCCAGCCAAAGTTCAGAGGGAAGAGAAAGTTCACAGTGCCTTAAAAATATCTACACTGAGTGTAACGGAGTTGTGATGGAGACAAGGCAAAGCGCAGAGAGGGGGGATGGCACCATTAGCCAGACACTTGACTGTGATGGAACCAATTCTTTCAGGAATTTTCCTTTGAAAGCAACTTCATATTGTGATAATGGGAGATCTAATGTCAGTATGGTTGTGCAGCCTCCAACTTTGCTCCCGCAATTGCACAATCAAAGCATAGACTATCCAATGTTCCCGGCACCAACAATACCTTATTGCCAGACTCCAGTTTCTTGGCCAGCTGCTCCTACAAATGGGTTGATGCCCTTACCCCATCACAGCCAACACTATTTATTTGCTAACCCTTTTGGATACGGTCTGAACGGAACTGCACGGCTTATGCAATATGGAGCCTTACAGCATCTAGCTCCACCATTACTTAATTCTGCTCAGTTGCCTTTTTTCCAGCCAGCCGCTTGTGTTAATGGCACTGGCACAGAGTGTGCCAAGGTTCCAAATCTAGGTGTGCTAAAAGAAGCTGAACATGGATATAATGTACGGAAGGTTGCTCCAGCTAATAAGCAGTATACTGCGGAAGCACCAAATGCTGTCGAAGCTGGGAAAATTGTGAAGTCTGAAATATCAGAAATAAGAAATACAAACTTCTCTCTTTTCCACTTTGGTGGCCCTATAGCTCTTTCAGCAGGGTCTAAATTGGATGGTGACTCTTTGGAAGAAGGAATTGCTGGTGATATTTCTCCAAATTTATTAGTGAACCGACCTGATGGTCATGATGCTTGCAATAAGGAAGACTCTATTGAAGAATACAATTTGTTTGCTACAACTAATGGAATAAAGTTTTCTTTCTGATTTTGTCGAGTAAGATGTCAAAATGCTATTTCTGATTTTAGCCCTTAGTTATGCTTTGTTTTTACCGAGTGTTAGAAACCATTGTTCAAGTTTTATTTCTATTTTCTTGTTACTGAGAGATGGAAGCTTTGAGTACTATGTAATTCCGTGCACAATAATCCTCTGGGAAAAAGATTAGCATTTTTTTCTAGTTTATTTGATTGCTTCACTTTGCTCTATTTGTTGTTCGTGGAGAGATCTAGAAATTTCATAATGTACGAACTTTTTTTGAATCTATTCCGGAGTCTTTGTTGGGGTCACATTTCTCGTTATTATGCTCTTAAGTTACTTGGGCTACATAACATGATTTGAGTATTTCATTGTAGATAATTGTCGCAATATATTCCTGCTAGTTCATGGTATCGTGGACAAGTAATATAGACTGAGTAAATTATCAATCTTATGAGGATTGATTATGATGTAGAATGGATTGAAGAAGAGTTGAATCAAAATTGGAAAAACGTAACAGTGCAGAGAGAGCGTCTGAAATTTAGTTTCGGTTCATAATATCATTCTGGAAAGGGAATGATGAGACGAGTAGAACTTACACTTTCGCTGTGACATACAATGGATTTTGGCCATCCGAGTTTGTTTAGGACTCGAAATTGCTTTTAAAGTTTTAGTGTTATTTTTATCATTTAGTTTATTTTGAATTCTTTTCAATTTTAGTTTGTTTAAACTAGGTTTTCATGTAAACCTTTATAAATAAGGGATTATTACATTATTTTTTATCATCTTACATTAATAAAATTTCTGAAGTTTATTTTCTTCCTAATTTGATGGATTTCAAAAATTGTGTTTTTAAGGTTTTACGCTTGAATTACTTATTTTGCTTTGCGTCAATTACTTATTTATCACTTAAATCAAAATTAACCTAAATTAAGACACGGATTTAATAAGGGGTGTTTTCGGTTAATCTAGCTATTAACTACAATAAATAATTAAAAAGTGAGTGTCTTGGAATTTAACAAAGTCATGAAAGGCAATAGGATCTTGAATTCATCGTTGTTAATCCACTTTAATCCTTAAATACCCGATATTAGCCAATTCTTGGTTTTAATTGGCAGCATTGTTTTCTAATATGTTAATTTTCTCACTTGAGATAAAATAAATTAATTTTTATCTATGACCCTACTATATTTCTGTAAAGATATGAATACAAAAAGAATGTTTACATTACGATACCGATTAAGATTGCACTACCTCTTAGTCTTAATACAAATCCCAAAACAAACATAAAATTAGCCAGATAATAGGACGCCAATCTATAATATAAATAATTAAAATTCAAATCAACGATTAATAAATGAAAATTTTAAAAAGGTCACATCATAATCCTAGCAACTAAATTAGTCTAACATGATCAGGTTACAAAAATTCAATATAACTGATGAACAATAACTTGGATAATTCAGGACAAAAATTGAGTATAACCTGTTATGTTCTAAATTAATTATTGTTCACCTAGATTTCTTGTCAGCCATTGAAGGGCCCATTGCATGCCCAGTTTTCCTAAATATTTGCCTCTGACTACCGAGGCTTTCCTAAATTGTGGAGTAGAACCTTTTCGTGGAGGGCCTCGGCCATCAATGGACAAAGGCCTTGGTTTGGCCCTAGACGAATACTAACAAAATTAATTTGGACCTCAGTGCACTAAGCTCATGCATGCATGCAATGGATTATTGGACAAATGTCCAACATCGAAACTTCCGTTGACCTTGCGAATTGAACCCTCCACGTGGTCAACGGATAGCCACTCCACGTAATTCTCCCTACACATAACAACACACGGTTAGAAGCACACGGTCGGAACCAGCGAGGGTGGTGGAGGCCGTATACACTCCGACAGTCAAATCAATATTAGGTGATCGGAACAATGCTCAAATTATGCAAGAGAGTTGGGAAGAGAATATATATTTCTTAGTATGGAGAGCTAAGTTGAGAGTTTCATTACCTTTGTTTCCTGCCAAACCTTAGGTATTTATAGACGTAGAGCACTGTTGGATGTGGAACACGTTTATGCATCTGACGGTGTGAGGCGTCCACTCATAAGCGTCAATCAGTCGTGTCTAGAGTGGACGGTCAATTAATTCTTCTCAATTGACATAAAGTTGAGAAGTCACATCAACTAGACTTATGGAGATGTCACATCAATTAACCCTTGGAGGCAGAGTGGATTCTGACAGCTATCTTTCTGAAAGTGGCAGCGAAGGGATCTGTTAAGGGAGCACATCGGAGTGCTCAACACTTCGGAGTCAAGGGGCACTTCAGTTGCTTCTATCGATCTACTCTTTGCCTTGCAGCGCGTCATGTTGGAGGTCGTCACGAGTTCACTTCGGAACCATTTCGGATGGACACGTGGCACTTCGGGGAGTGGTGTGCCGAAGTGGTTTAGTTAGGGGTGTAACAACTTCAACAAAATATTGAGAATGGGACTTAAACTTAATAACGAGAGTGTCCATTTACAAAAAGGATTAGAATACCCCTACAAATGCCTATAAATAAGCCATTGTATCCTTGAGCTATTGGATGCTAGACCTTTCTTTAGAAAAAAATTGACCATAGTTGAGGGGGCATCAATACCAGAAAAAAGAATTGATTGACATTCAAAGCAAAGTTAGGGAACCAAATTGACTATTTATAAACTCTACCGTTAGAAAGGGGATTCCTTGCTACTCGACTGACTAAACTAAAATGAGAGTTGCTCAATTGGGTATGTTATCCCCCCTTTTCTTTTGTAAAAATGGTCTCTCCTTTTGCTCAATGGCCGTAACAAGAAAGACCATTTCAAGGAATCGAACTGAAAAATAGAGGTTTCGAAACTACATACATCTGGAGAAGAAAATATACCATCGAGACAATTTGAATTCAATAGAATTTTCCTACTTGATTGAACAAGAAGAATGAATGATCTTAAAGAAAAAAGAATTGAAGATTTGATATCCAAAATTCCACTTTTTAAAAAAAGAAAAAATATATCAATTTAAAACACATCCCATGTTAGATCTCTATAAAATTGCAGCTATCTCCGATTGAGAAATTCAAGGCCAACCAAACGTCGAAATTATAATCTCTTCTCTTTACAACAAAGTTGGCTAACTCACCCAAAATCCCTAAAAGAGGGAAAACGCTATTGAAATTTGGAGTAGAAACTATCATTTATTGACTTTAAAGAATAACTTTCATTTTTAAGGTCAACAATTTGACGCCATCTAAGAGAACTTCCTAACAAAACCACAATAAGAAAGCAAGTGATGAACATAAAAAGTTAAGAAGTATAAATGGAAGCCAATCAAATAGTGATGTGAAACAGAAGGAAAATAGGCACGACAAACTTACAATCCCAATTGAGAGATATACTTGAAGAAGAAATTGGAGATTATCAAGAAGAATGGCTAACTCAAACGGTAGCTGATATGTCTACAAACGTGCAACATATTGTCGACCAGAACGATGCCATGAGGCAGTCCTTGATGCAAAATGGACACCGTGTTGTGTATATAGCTCATATAGAGTGGAACACACTACTAGATCAAATAGAACGATTCCAGAGTAGAGCGAAGCAATAGCATCAGTCTTGTGGATTTTAATTTGCTGTCTATTTGTTAGGAAAGCTGATTAGGTTGAGAGTGCGGGACAACGTTCTCACAGTATGGTACATGGGTATTTTCTTGTACGAATCCTAAAGTCTTGATAGACTTAGGCTAGGGTTAGTATAAATATTGATGATGTTACCCTATTATTCATGCTAAATAAAATATCTACTTGGCATCTTGTGGTCATAGGCACATCGCCAAACCACATTAAATACTTGTGTCAATTTCTTTTTTCACTTCTCTATTATTGTGTATAAAGTCCAACAACTATAATCAGAGTGCTAGGTTTAGATGACGAGTTCTTCGATTACAAAATTCGATGTGATGAAGTTCGATGGAATTGAGAAATTGTAGGAAATATCTATAAATTACTAGGAAATGCAGTTGTAGATGGAGTTGCTACAACAGAATCTAAGTTAGATAACACTTTTCTATAGCATATGCAACTGGGGCATATAGGAGAACATGGTGTGATTGACTTCACAAAAGGAATTTGTTGAAGAAAGTAAAATCAAGTAAGACCCTGTTTTTCAAGGTTAGAGGGGAATGCGCAAGATAGAAAGCATTCTTGATTATGTGTATTTTGATGTTTGAGACTAGTGACGGAGTTGTCTAAAGGTGGATCTCAGTATTTTATTACTTTCATTGGTGAATTCTCTAGAAAAGTCTGGCTCTATTTCATAAAGCACAAGCCTGAAGCCTTTGCCAAGTTCTAAATGTGGAAAGCAGATGTAGAGAACCTAACAGATAGGAAAATTAAGTACCTCAGGACAGACAATGGTACAAAATATACAAATTCACAGTTTCTAAAATTTTGAGAGGAACATGGTATTCAGTGATACTTTTCAATTCACAAGACATCGGATTAGAATGGTGTAATGGAGAAGATGAACAGAACAACTGTAGAACGAAAAGATGTTTGAGGCTGAATGATGGGCTTTCGAAGAGATTTTGGACAAAGTGGTAAACGTGGCATGTTATGTCATAAACAGATCAGATGGAAAAGTTGCAGTGAAAGTTTGGACAAGTAATGAAGTTGATTATGTTGGACTGAGAGTATTCAAGTATCCAACATATGTGTATATATCTAGTGATCAGGGATCCATACTTGATTTGAAATTAAAAAAGTACATTTTTTGGCTTTGTGAAAGATGTAAAAGGGTACAAGTTTTGGGATATAGAGACAAAGAAGATAGTGAACATATGAAACATTAATACTTAAAGGTTCTCTAGATGAAGATAATCTTAGTCTAGGTAAGGGTGGCGACAAGAGCCAAGTGTGCAGATAGAGCTAGACAATATTGACATGGAGATTAATACTCAGGGAGTTGATAGTTATGGTTCAGAAGAGGATCAGTTATTGCCATAAAATAGATCACATCGTACTAATAGGCCACAGGTAAAGTATAGATTCAGAGTTTTAGTTTTTTATGCACTTATTATCAGCAATAGCGATCCTGTAACTGTTTAAAATGTCGTTTATAGTCAGGAGAAAAGTAAATGGGTAGAGGCTATGACGGAGGAAATTGGGTCATTGTATAAAAATGATATATGTGAGTGAAGCTTCTAGAGGAGAAGAAACTGATAGGGTGTAAGTGTATGTACAGAAAAAAATAATGTGTGAAAATGTAGATTATGCAAGTGACTTGGATGACATTATTGTGAAAATGCAGATGGGCCTATATATGTTATATTTTGAGAGACAACATGTGTGAAAATGCATATTATGTAAGTGACTTGGATGATAGGAGGTCCTATATATGTTACATTTCCACACTCGCAAGTGGGCCTATATGTTGGAGATCAATTGTACAACCACTTATATCATTATCCACAACTAAAGTAGAGTACATGGTAGTAAATAAGGCAACCAAGGAATTCTTGTGGTTGAGAGGATTTGTCAGGGAATTTGGGATCAGGTAAGATGGAATAAAGTTGTATTATGATACTTACAGTGTCATCTTCTTAGTAAAGAACTAGATTTACCATGCAAAAACCAAGTACATTAACAAGATAATTAAGTAAGGTTACTTCAGAATAACCATTGCTAAAGAAGGCGCACACCTCAGAGAATATAGCAGACAAGTTGATAAAGTCAATCACAATGGACAGGTTTAAACTTTGCTTGAACTTGATTAACATCACTAGTTGTCAGAGAGTAGGTGTCCCAACCTATAGCTCCTAAATGGTGTTTTCCCATATTATGCTTTTTATTGTTTTCCATTCGCTAAGGAAGAAATTATTATGTATGTGGCTCATATAAGATGAAACACATATTTACTGGATCAAATAGGTCAATACTGGAGTGAAGTACTGTATGTTTGCCAGGGATGCTAAATAAGTTAGGATACAGTACATGGGTATTTTCTTGTATAGGCTTGGGCTAGGGTAGGTATAAACATTAATGATGTAACCCTATTATTCATACTGGATAAAATTTCTGCTTCACTCTTTGTGGACATAGACACATCATCAAACCACGTTAAATACTTATGTTGATTTCTCTCTTTCACATCTCTATTATTGCGTATAAAATCCAATAACATGTGATTCTGCCTCTCAAATAGGATAAAAGAAGGAAAAAAGGTGAGGACATATAGCAAATCTAAAATGGGCCGCATTATTCTTACTAACAATTGACTTTTTTATATAACCACCACGTTGGGGAGGCCAAGTTCACCCATTGAATTGAAAAGTGGTGACCTTCCAAGGTTGTTGGTGTTTTTAATAGATAGGGAGGATGGAGGGATGAACAGGAACCATATGATGCACGATAGAGGTATGGTCGAATTGCAAATAAATGGAACAGTCTAATTATAAAATCAGAGGGCTCTAAAGCCTTCCAAGCCATAAGACATTGATACTATTATCACGTGACTAGGGAATAATTATCCCAAATGTATCACGTGATAAAAGCTCGAATTGGTATAGGGAGATGCAAGATCCTCATCCCCAACTAAGTTTTGTAGTTACAATCAAGAATATGTCTATGATACCTATGGTGAGTGCTGAAGTGTGAAAGTAGAGATGGAAAACATCACAGCTAAGAGGGAATAGTCGACCAATGTGAGGTAGTTGGTTGAAGGATCACATAGACCTTGTTCCCAATAAAATGCGATTCGGGAATTCCTTCCTATATCCTTTCCCCTCATTCTCTATTTATTCTCATGATATTTCTTGTTATGTTTTTATTTCCATTGTGATTTCAGGATGATGATTCCATGGATAAGGATGGAAATGACTTTGATGGTGAGTGCTCTCGTCCTCAGAAACATGCGAAGAGTCCTGAGCTTGCTAGAGACTTCCTTCTAGATGCTGCAACTGTAATATTCAAGGATCAGGCACGTTCATCATTTCTTTCCTTTTCTATGAATTATCTTTTTGAATTCACAGAAAGTAAGCAACAGAATTAATCTACTGTCTTTTAAAGTCATTTATAGTTCTTATTAGTGATATCTAGAGTCCTAGGGTTCCCATGTTATCTATATTTGTAGTTCAAAGTGAAAGTTGAAATATAGTTGCTTCAATATTTGTGGGTATTTGATTTTGATGTTAGTAACGGGGAGCATCCTAGGGTTCCATGTTTTCCATATCTGTAATCCAAACCGTAACTTGACTTATAGTTGTTTCATATTTGTGGGTAATTGATTTTGATGTTTTAAGATGTCTTACACTATATAGATGGCTGTAGCTTCTGAGACATGTCGACCTTGTTCAACCAATTCTTCAGAAGGATGGATTTTTGTTATCTGTAGAAATTCTCACATCAAAACTTCTAATGCTATGAACTCCTTACACAGTTAAATTTACAAGACTGTATGACAAGTTGAACAAGCCTAACTGCATAACTGATTCACCATTTCTAGTTGTACCTTGAAATTTGATCATTTTTGAGGAAAGAATAAGTTGAAGGACTCGGGCTTATGTTTTTGTGTACTGTATGCTCTTAATATACCATGGTCTTACATTTAATCTCCACGTCTATTTGTTGGCACTTTGAAGTTTTCTTAGGTGCTGGATAAATTCTGCAGGTTGAAAAGGCCTTTAGAGAAGGAACTGCACGGCAGAATGCACACAGCAGTTTTGTGTGCCTTGGTTTGAAGTTGCTTGAAGAACGCGTGCATGTTGCATGCAAGGAAATCATTACCTTAGAAAAGCAGGTACTGAACCTGTAATAATTTAAATCTCCCCTTGAGCATTTTGCTGCCTCAACATATCATCTTGAGTTTCATGGTATTATCTCGATTTCCCCTTCAACTTTGATTTTACAGATTAAACTTCTTGAAGAAGAAGAAAAGGAAAAGCGTGAAGAAGAAGAAAGAAAGGTGCGCCGAAGAACAAAAGAAAGGGAGAAAAAGCTCCGAAGAAAGGAAAGATTAAAAGAGAAGGAAAACAAGGAGATGGAATGTGCTGAATCAAATCAAGATCCTGTGGTTCCCGATGTTTCAAAGGAGGACCCCACGCCCACTCTTGATGAAAATTCAAATGTGGTCAGTAACAAAGATTGTATCAGTGAAACTGGTGAAGCTATTTCATCCAGCCCATTGTCTCCAGATATTCAAGATGCCCAGTTTTTGAAGGATTATGTATATTCAAATACAGAAAACCATTCAGAAGACAGTCCTAATGGGGAAATTGGCAATATTAGAGATTCGAACTGCTCTTTCCCCCACAATCACATCAAATATGCTAGCAGGAAGCTAAAGTTTAAAAAAGACCCCAAACAGGATTTGAACTTAAAATGGTCAGGTGCGAGAAAAAGTAATGTTGTTACAGAGTTTGGGGATACTGTTAGCAAATGTGAATCGAGATATCATGATGATGGCTTTGATGTTAGAAATAATGCTGCAAAGAACAGTAGAACTTTTGGCTCAAAATTTAGTGAAAAGTTTCAGGGTACCAAGAATAGGGTACGAGGTGACAGATTTGATTCACATGCTCGCAGCTGTAACCCTCATGACGTTTACAGAGCAAGGCCTGAATCACATATTACAAGAGCAGTCCGGGACCCCAAATATGTGAATAAGTTGGAGGTCTCTGGTATGTCAAAACCATATTATCGTGGACTCAAGTATAACCTAGTTGAGTGTTCACGTGAGATGAGTGGACGACCTAAAAGTAAAATTATAGCTGGGAACAGTTCACCTAACATTAAGCAAGTTTGGGAACCATTGGATTCACAGAAGAAATACATCCGAAGCAATTCAGATTCTGATATTATTGCAATTTCTACTCTCAAAGTTGAAGGTGCTGTATCTGATCGCCTCCCTGAATTTCCTGCTACCAGTCAATCTGACGAAGTGACGAGTATTTCAGTATCAACCAATCGCAAGGATTATGGTTTTCAAGATTCAATTATGTCTAGACCTGAAAATGGCAGAATTGGACCAAATGGATTTCAGACGGTGACAAAGTCCCAGCAATCCTCAAAGGATGTAGCAGAAGAGGATGGGAAGTTATGTCCTTCAACTAGATCTTTACATGTAATGCTAGAATCATCAATTGGTAGCTCTTCTAACTCTGACAATTGCTCCTCCTGCCTCAGTGAGGAAGACAGCAGCACATCCTCTTCAGACCATCAAATCTCGGATTCAACATCGATGTCGGATTCAGATGAGGCCAGCCAAAGTTCAGAGGGAAGAGAAAGTTCACAGTGCCTTAAAAATATCTACACTGAGTGTAACGGAGTTGTGATGGAGACAAGGCAAAGCGCAGAGAGGGGGGATGGCACCATTAGCCAGACACTTGACTGTGATGGAACCAATTCTTTCAGGAATTTTCCTTTGAAAGCAACTTCATATTGTGATAATGGGAGATCTAATGTCAGTATGGTTGTGCAGCCTCCAACTTTGCTCCCGCAATTGCACAATCAAAGCATAGACTATCCAATGTTCCCGGCACCAACAATACCTTATTGCCAGACTCCAGTTTCTTGGCCAGCTGCTCCTACAAATGGGTTGATGCCCTTACCCCATCACAGCCAACACTATTTATTTGCTAACCCTTTTGGATACGGTCTGAACGGAACTGCACGGCTTATGCAATATGGAGCCTTACAGCATCTAGCTCCACCATTACTTAATTCTGCTCAGTTGCCTTTTTTCCAGCCAGCCGCTTGTGTTAATGGCACTGGCACAGAGTGTGCCAAGGTTCCAAATCTAGGTGTGCTAAAAGAAGCTGAACATGGATATAATGTACGGAAGGTTGCTCCAGCTAATAAGCAGTATACTGCGGAAGCACCAAATGCTGTCGAAGCTGGGAAAATTGTGAAGTCTGAAATATCAGAAATAAGAAATACAAACTTCTCTCTTTTCCACTTTGGTGGCCCTATAGCTCTTTCAGCAGGGTCTAAATTGGATGGTGACTCTTTGGAAGAAGGAATTGCTGGTGATATTTCTCCAAATTTATTAGTGAACCGACCTGATGGTCATGATGCTTGCAATAAGGAAGACTCTATTGAAGAATACAATTTGTTTGCTACAACTAATGGAATAAAGTTTTCTTTCTGATTTTGTCGAGTAAGATGTCAAAATGCTATTTCTGATTTTAGCCCTTAGTTATGCTTTGTTTTTACCGAGTGTTAGAAACCATTGTTCAAGTTTTATTTCTATTTTCTTGTTACTGAGAGATGGAAGCTTTGAGTACTATGTAATTCCGTGCACAATAATCCTCTGGGAAAAAGATTAGCATTTTTTTCTAGTTTATTTGATTGCTTCACTTTGCTCTATTTGTTGTTCGTGGAGAGATCTAGAAATTTCATAATGTACGAACTTTTTTTGAATCTATTCCGGAGTCTTTGTTGGGGTCACATTTCTCGTTATTATGCTCTTAAGTTACTTGGGCTACATAACATGATTTGAGTATTTCATTGTAGATAATTGTCGCAATATATTCCTGCTAGTTCATGGTATCGTGGACAAGTAATATAGACTGAGTAAATTATCAATCTTATGAGGATTGATTATGATGTAGAATGGATTGAAGAAGAGTTGAATCAAAATTGGAAAAACGTAACAGTGCAGAGAGAGCGTCTGAACTTTAGTTTCGGTTCATAATATCATTCTGGAAAGGGAATGATGAGACGAGTAGAACTTACACTTTCGCTGTGACATACAATGGATTTTGGCCATCCGAGTTTGTTTAGGACTCGAAATTGCTTTTAAAGTTTTAGTGTTATTTTTATCATTTAGTTTATTTTGAATTCTTTTCAATTTTAGTTTGTTTAAACTAGGTTTTCATGTAAACCTTTATAAATAAGGGATTATTACATTATTTTTTATCATCTTACATTAATAAAATTTCTGAAGTTTATTTTCTTCCTAATTTGATGGATTTCAAAAATTGTGTTTTTAAGATATTACGCTTGAATTACTTATTTTGCTTTGCGTCAATTACTTATTTATCACTTAAATCAAAATTAACCTAAATTAAGACACGGATTTAATAAGGGGTGTTTTCGGTTAATCTAGCTATTAACTACAATAAATAATTAAAAAGTGAGTGTCTTGGAATTTAACAAAGTCATGAAAGGCAATAGGATCTTGAATTCATCGTTGTTAATCCACTTTAATCCTTAAATACCCGATATTAGCCAATTCTTGGTTTTAATTGGCAGCATTGTTTTCTAATATGTTAATTTTCTCACTTGAGATAAAATAAATTAATTTTTATCTATGACCCTACTATATTTCTGTAAAGATATGAATACAAAAAGAATGTTTACATTACGATACCGATTAAGATTGCACTACCTCTTAGTCTTAATACAAATCCCAAAACAAACATAAAATTAGCCAGATAATAGGACGCCAATCTATAATATAAATAATTAAAATTCAAATCAACGATTAATAAATGAAAATTTTAAAAAGGTCACATCATAATCCTAGCAACTAAATTAGTCTAACATGATCAGGTTACAAAAATTCAATATAACTGATGAACAATAACTTGGATAATTCAGGACAAAAATTGAGTATAACCTGTTATGTTCTAAATTAATTATTGTTCACCTAGATTTCTTGTCAGCCATTGAAGGGCCCATTGCATGCCCAGTTTTCCTAAATATTTGCCTCTGACTACCGAGGCTTCCATAATCCTAGCAACTAAATTAGTCTAACATGATCAGGTTACAAAAATTCAATATAACTGATGAACAATAACTTGGATAATTCAGGACAAAAATTGAGTATAACCTGTTATGTTCTAAATTAATTATTGTTCACCTAGATTTCTTGTCAGCCATTGAAGGGCCCATTGCATGCCCAGTTTTCCTAAATATTTGCCTCTGACTACCGAGGCTTCCCTAAATTGTGGAGTAGAACCTTTTCGTGGAGGGCCTCGGCCATCAATGGACAAAGGCCTTGGTTTGGCCCTAGACGAATACTAACAAAATTAATTTGGACCTCAGTGCACTAAACTCATGCATGCATGCAATGGATTATTGGACAAATGTCCAACATCGAAACTTCCGTTGACCTTGCGAATTGAACCCTCCACGTGGTCAACGGATAGCCACTCCACGTAATTCTCCCTACACATAACAACACACGGTTAGAAGCACACGGTCGGAACCAGCGAGGGTGGTGGAGGCCGTATACACTTCGACAGTCAAATCAATGTTAGGTGATCGGAATAGTGCTCAAATTATGCAAGAGAGTTGGGAAGAGAATATATATTTCTTAGTATGGAGAGCTAAGTTGAGAGTTTCATTACCTTTGTTTCCTGCCAAACCTTAGGTATTTATAGACGTAGAGCACTGTTGGATGTGGAACACGTTTATGCATCTGACGGTGTGAGGCGTCCACTCATAAGCGTCAATCAGTCGTGTCTAGAGTGGACGGTCAATTAATTCTTCTCAATTGACATAAAGTTGATAAGTCACATCAACTAGACTTATGGAGATGTCACATCAATTAACCCTTGGAGGCAGAGTGGATTCTGACAGCTATCTTTCTGAAAGTGGCAGCGAAGGGATCTGTTAAGGGAGCACATCGGAGTGCTCAACACTTCGGAGTCAAGGGGCACTTTAGTTGCTTCTATCGATCTACTCTTTGCCTTGCAGCGCGTCATGTTGGAGGTCGTCACGAGTTCACTTCGGAACCATTTCGGATGGACACGTGGCACTTCGGGGAGTGGTGTGCCGAAGTGGTTTAGTTAGGGGCGTAACAACTTCAACAAAATATTGAGAATGGGACTTAAACTTAATAACGAGAGTGTCCATTTACAAAAAGGATTAGAATACCCCTACAAATGCCTATAAATAAGCCATTGTATCCTTGAGCTATTGGATGCTAGACCTTTCTTTAGAAAAAAATTGACCATAGTTGAGGGGGCATCAATACCAGAAAAAAGAATTGATTGACATTCAAAGCAAAGTTAGGGAACCAGATTGACTATTTATAAACTCTACCGTTAGAAAGGGGATTCCTTGCTACTCGACTGACTAAACTAAAATGAGAGTTGCTCAATTGGGTATGTTATCCCCCCTTTTCTTTTGTAAAAATGGTCTCTCCTTTTGCTCAATGGCCGTAACAAGAAAGACCATTTCAAGGAATCGAACTGAAAAATAGAGGTTTCGAAACTACATACATCTGGAGAAGAAAATATACCATCGAGACAATTTGAATTCAATAGAATTTTCCTACTTGATTGAACAAGAAGAATGAATGATCTTAAAGAAAAAAGAATTGAAGATTTGATATCCAAAATTCCACTTTTTAAAAAAAGAAAAAATATATCAATTTAAAACACATCCCATGTTAGATCTCTATAAAATTGCAGCTATCTCCGATTGAGAAATTCAAGGCCAACCAAACGT